AAAAAAAAAAAAAAAAAAAAAAGTGGCAATAAAAACAAACAACTGGAAGCAGGTGCAGTGGTCTGTAATCCCAGTATGTGGTAGGCTGAGGCAGGAGGATTGCAAGTTTGAGACCAGCATGGACTACATAGCTAGCTCAAGGCCAGCCTGGATTATGTAGTGAAAACAATCTCAAAAAAATTAATTTTTTTTTTTTTTTCTTTTTGGTACTGGGGATTGAACTTGGGTTCTTGCGCTTGCAAGGCAGGCCACCGAACCACTGAGCTGAATCCCCAGGCCCTCAGAAAAATTAATATTAAAACAATAGCTATATTAGAAAAAAGAAGGGATGGGGTGAAAGTCTTAGGACAGTGACTGGCATGCCTACCTTCGAAGGGTAAGGTAGTGGTCCAGGGCTCGTCTTCTCATGGGGCTCATAGGTGCAGGGTCCGCGGCAGTAGCTGACTCCTTAGTCTGCAGGCCAGGCCCAGGCTCACGTTCCCTACTGATCTTTTCACTCTGTCTCTCGGCTGCTTTCTCTGTCTCTCTGTCTCTCGAGAGCTCAGTCTCCTGGGTTGGCAAAGAGGAGCAGGATATAGAGGGACCAGGGGCTTCTGGTCTGTATGGAGAAGAATCAAAGCCTATAGAAGCAGCAAAGGAAAGGCCACCTCTTCTGACTTCTACCTCCTTAGAGCAGTGTTAAACTGTGTTCCTCAAGATATTAAATTTTTTTGTTGATACTGGGGATCAAACTCAGGACCTTGTGCTTTTGAGGAAAGTATGGCTCCGAGCTAAATACCCGGCTCTGTTTTGTTTATTTTTTTGAGACAGGGGTCTAGTAGTTCAGGCTGGCTTCAAACTCACAGTGATCCTCTGACTCAGCCTCCTGAGTACTAGGATTACGATGCTAAGATTACAGGCATGTGCCACCATGACTGCCTCATAATGTTCTGCATAAAAAGGATTTTGGGGGGCAGGGATTTAGCTCAGTGGTTCTGCTGCCTGCCTCCCAAATGCAAGGACCCAAGTTCAATCCCTGGTACCAACCAAAAAAAAAAAGGGGGGGGCTGGGCGTGGTGGTGCACACACCTGTAATCCCAGCACTCAGGAGGCTGAGGCAGGAGGATCGCTGTGAGTTCAAAACCAGGCTGGGCTACATAGTTCTAGGTCAGTTTCAACTACATAGTGAGACCCTGGCTCAAAAAACAAACAAACAACCCCCCTTGCAACATAAATTTGGGAAAAACTGTTTTAAAATTAAAGTTTTTTTTCTTTTTCTTTTTTTTTTTTGTTTGTTTTTTGACACAGGGTCTCACTATGTAGTTGAGACTGAACTGGAACTCACTAAGTAGCCCAGGCTGGTCTCCAACTCACAGGGATCCTCCTGCCTCAGCCTCCTGAGCGCTGGGATTACAGGCGTGTGCCACCACACCCAGCAAAGTTTTTTTTTTAACCTTAAAATTTTGTATATATGGTGGCACAGAATATACAGTTCTAGTTACTCAGGAAGCTTAGGCAGGGGGATTGCAAGTTTGATCCCAGCCTGGGTTACTTGGGGAAATCCTTTCTCTAACATAATACAAAGAGATGGGAGGCTGAAGCAGAAGGACTGCTTAAAGTTCAAGGCCAGCTACATATACAGCTGAGCTATATATAGTGAATTTGTGACCAGCCTGAACTGCACAGGGAAACCATGTCTCAAAAGCCAAAACAAATAAAGATGCGGAGGCCTCCCCAGTGCAAAACTCAGTGCAAAGGCTCTGGGTTCAATCCCTAGTATAAGAAGCAAAAAAAAGGCTTTGTACAGTCTTTAAAATATACTAATGTTGCTAGTCTTTTATTTTATTTATGTATTTATTTTTGAGACAGTGTCTTTCTATGTAGCCCACACTGGCCTCAAATTCATTCTCCTACTATCTCAGCCTTCCAGTGCTGGGATTTCAGGTGTGCATCACCACACCCAGCCCAATGTTGCTATTCTTTGCTTTTTGGTACCAGGGATCGAACTTGAGACCTTGCGCTTGCAGGGCAGGCAGCAGAACCACTGAGCTAAATCCCCGGCCCCCAATGCCGCTATTCTGTAGGATCGCAAAGCTCCATTTCCTAAAATTTATTGAAAATCTCAAAACTCATTTTTTTTTTTTCCTGGAACACCAACTGACATGTCCCTGTCCGGAACACAGAATACAATTTGGAAAACATTTACTTCAATTAATTATATTTAGCAGTACTGAGGGTTGAATCCAGGGCCTTTGCATCCCCAGCCCAATTTTCTTCTGAGACAGGGTTTCATTAAGTCACTAAATTGCGGAGGCTCAACTCGAACTTGTGATCCTCCTATCTTAGCCTCCTAGAGTGTGCACCACCATGCCCAAACTATTGTGGAAAACAGGGCCGGGGATTTAGCTCAGCGGTTTGGTGACCTGCCTCACAAGTGCAAGGACCCAAGTTCGATCCCTGGTACCCCCCCCAAAAAAAACTATTATGGAAAACAGTAACTGTTGGGCCATCTATCTCCTCCTGTCCTTTCTACCTCGACCCTTCCCATCCTGTCCACGGACCTGTGCTTCCGGCGGCAGCAACTGTTATAGTGAGGAGCTCTATGCAGAGCACTCTGGGTGATCAGTCGAGTCTGGGTTAGCAGAGGAGCCTGGTGGAGATGAGAGACCAAGTTAGGGCCTTCAGAAGCAAGAGTCCTTTAAATGTGTTGTGTGCAGCAAGGTCCTTCTTGGAAAACACTCTTTCCCTCTCGGATTACCTCAGGTTTGGTCTCTTCCCTCCTCAGTTCATTCTGCAGTCTTGGATTATGCCCCATCTCCTTTCCTGACTGCTTCTTACCATAGAAAAGCTGCAAGCCTGAGGACAAAAGAAAAGAGAATTAGGGCTGGGGATTTAGCTCAGTGGTTCCAGCACCTGCCTCACAAGCACAAGGACCCGAGTTTCATCCCCGGTACCAAAAAAAAAAAGAAAAGAAAAAAAAAAAGAAAAGAGAATTAAAAGCATAACGGTGGGCCGAGGATTTAGCTCAGTGATTCTGGTGCCTGCCTTGCAGAGTTTATTCTCTATCCCGTCTTCCCTCACACTTACTAGATAAATGCTTCTTGCCTGCACGGTGGGCAGTCAGCATGGCCAGTGTGTCCAGTACAGGTCGATGAGGACAGATGGCACAAGCAAAGCTGAAAAGGAAGGGGACGAAGATGATAAGACCAAGGAGAGAGGGGAGGCGGGGAGGCGGCACCCCTATCACAGAAGTCCCTTCCAAAACCCAACTCCCAGGTTTCCTAGTCTCCTCTTCCAGTCCTTTCACTTCCAAAACATTCTAGATACCACCGCTCTCCTTCATAGCAAAGGTCTGTCGAGGGTCTAACCGCGGAACCCTCGGGTTAATTTAGCCCTAGCTCTCACCGTCCATCCCGTAGCATCAGCGCTTCATCCTCTGGGATGTAACTGGCCAGCAAATCCCCAACTCTTCGTTTCTGCAGGGCGTAGGTTAAGAAGTCCAGAAAGAATCAGCGTCATTGAAAGGATGAGAGGAAGGGAAATAGTAGGAATGAGGAGTCAAAAGGAATAAGGATCACAGGAAGAACAACGATTACATAGAGCAAGGATCACCACCCAGGTCTGGTTCCCTCACTACCCCTTCCCAGCAGCTGCCAGAGCAACAAGACAGCTCCTCCACAGTCTTCAAAGGGCAGCTGAAGTAGCTCCAGACTCTCTCCACTCGCACTTACTTTGAGAACATTGAGTTGACTCCAATCGTCTCCTTCCCTCTTGAAAGACATCACGACTTCGAATCTCAAAAAATGATACAATTCTCTCGAGCCAACTTCGCAGCTCCTTAGGGCCACCGTAGGAGGAGTGGGACAGCTCCTTTCCTCCTTCCCGTTTCGTCCCATTGGTTTTCGTACTTCCGGGGCTCGCTTCCCTGCATGCACTGCGCGATCCGGAAAGCCCGCCTCCAGCTGCTACCCGGACTGCATTTCCTATGGTGCCGCAGGCGCGGAGCCTTTTGGGGAATGAAGTCTTTTTCAAACAACTTGCGGCTCAGCTGGACCCTGGTTCTCGCATCTTGGCGGATTCGAGGCTTTGGGAGACAAGAACCTAGGTGTGGAGCCCAAGTTTGAGGGTGTGACCTGACTGATGCGGGGAGAGCCCTTGAGGATCTCAGACTGGAAAGTGTAAATTCCCGCAGTTCTCAGGCGCTTCGTCTGCGGCAATAGCCTACCTGGGGTGGGCCCGATTTGTTCCTGACCCTAGCGGACGAACCCTGGGACGAGGCGGAGTCAGGATATGGGGGCACCCTGAGGCCCAGCTACCGGACTTGGGGAGAAACTGAAGAAAAGTGTTGGCGGAGGGTGCCCACGGTTCAAAGGTCAGAGATCAGGGTAGCGAGGGGTCGAAGGTCAGAGGGGTACTCGGGGAGACAAAGACGGGGACCGAATGCTCAGGAGACGGATTTGTGAGTAAGGCGCTTGGAGGAGGGAGAAGCCGGGAGGACGTAGTGCGGGGGAAGCGGGAAGACTCTGGAAAGAAGAGAGCGGAAAGGAATTCCCTGAGTATATCCATTCCCTGAGTTCGGGCCGCGCCCGGCCTTCCTCAGTTGCAAGCCCAGCTGGTGAGGAGATGGCTTCTCCCTCCAGACAGCCTCCCCTCGGGGGGTCAGGGCTGCTTCAGGGGAGCCGGGCTCGCTCTTATGGAAGCCTGGTGCAGTCAGCCTGCTCCCCCGTGAGGGAAAGACGCCTGGAACATCAGCTGACGCCCGGAGACACCCTGGCTGGACTGGCACTCAAATACGGAGTGACGGTGAGTCTTCCAGGACTGCGGTGTAAGTAACCCTTGAGGGGAGATTGTAGTGATCCTTTTAGGCAGCCTCCCCTGACGTTTTCTTAATTGTTCTGCCTTTATCTGTCTTGTTTTTCCATCTCTGTGTTGCATTGCCTGGTTGGAACAGATCCTGTTCCACTACCCCAATAGAAAGGAGCATAATAAATAGGGATTTATTATGCCAGATACCATGCTAGGAGCTTTATGTAGAGTAACCCACTTGAGCCTCGCACCCCTATCAAGTATACAGCTATTGTGTTTTTTTTGTTTTTTGTTTTTTGTTTTTTTTGCAGATAAAGAAACTTGAGACTTAGATTGGTTAACCAATTTGACCAAGGTCAAATAACAGTGTCAGAGCTGGAATTCAGAAAGATCTGTCTGACTCTAAAGCTACTATTAACCACATAGAAAAATTTTAATTGAGAGTGATTAAATATTGACGACAAATAATGAAGAGCTGGTGTTTAGTTCTGAGTCCCTAGAGTGCCTCTCTTGTTCTTGTTTCCTAATTGTAAGGTGCAAAACAGGTCCTCTCTATCCCAAGTATTTCAGGTCATGCCTAAAGAGTAAAAATAGAGATATAAAAATATATTGCATTAGCTCATTTGAATAAATTATTTTTCTTTTTCTAACCAAGAGATAAATAAAGAAAAATATATTGCATTAACGTTCTTGAAATTTTCCCTGATTTCCAGCTCCATTTTGTCCAACAATGTTGGATTTAGCCAGAATTTTTGTGCTTGCTATTTTTAAAGCACTATGGTAGCTTTTCTTGGAGAGTTAAATATACAGTTGCTGTGCTCATGTAATTTTCAATCTAGTGAGAAATATACAGGGACAGAATGATTATGACAGAATGTGAGTTTGAACTGTTATTAAGGGGGTAAATCAGAAAAGAAGATTTTTACTTGGAAGGAAGAAAGGGTAGACATCAATGCAGGTTTTAAGGGCTTCATCACTATAGGCCTTGGAAAGCTTAAAAGCTTCTGTGTTTCTTTTACAAACCTATGCAATACAGGTGTTTGTCTTTCCAATGGCCTCTGTGCTCCTTAAGAGTAGAAACTATTTCCTGTCTTTTAGGGGAGATCCAACCTAGGGGTACTCTTGTCACTAAGCTACATATGTCTTCAGCCATCACTGCCCCCCGCTTTTTGGGCCATTTTCCAGAGACAGGATCTCACTATGTAGTTCAGGCTGGCCTCGAACTCAGCAATGTTGCTGTGTCAGCCTCTGGAGTGCCTGGGATTACAGGTGTGCTCCACCATGCCCGGCTCCCCCTTTTAATTTTGAGACAGGGTCTTGATAAATTACCCAAGCAGAATTATTTTGGGGAGCGTGTATTGAGACAGGGTTTCACTATATAGTTGAGATTGACCTGGAACTCACTATGTAGCCCAAGCTGGTCTGAACTTACAGCGATCCTCCTGCCTCAGCCTCCCAAATGCTGGGATTACAGGCGTGTGCCACCACACCCAGCTCCAAGCAGAATTTAAATTGGTAATACTCCTCTCCCAGCCTCCCAGAGTTCCAGGGTTACAGGTTTGTGCTGCCAGCTAAAGTGCAGTCTTTCTCTCCTCTCTTTTGGTTGAAGATGGTCTTGCTCTGTATTCTAGGTCAGCTTTGAACTCACTTTGTAGCCTAGGTGGCCTTGACCTCACAGCAGTCCCCCAGCTTCAGCTTCCCAGGCGCTGGAATTACAGGCATCTGATGCCGTGCCCAGTAGAACTATTTCTTTTCAATTTCATATCTTCAGATTCTGGCATAGGTACCAGCAAATAGAAGATTAAGAGACCATCCCTTTTTGGGTGCATATTAGTGATACAGAATAATGAAATTCATTTTGATACATGCATATAACATTTTGATTTTTGTCCTCATTTCCCCCTCCTTTCCTCCTGCCTCCCCCATCCCTTTCCCAATCTCTAAAAATCTGCCTTCTGGTTTTTTGTCGTCTCTGCTTAATTTATTTATTTATTTTTTTTCTTTGGTACCGGGGATCAAACTCGGGTCCTTGCGCTTGCGAGGCAAGCCACCGAAGCGCTGAGCTAAATCCCCGGCCCAAATATTTTTTAAATGAATAAAAATGTGGCTAATTTTTCCACACATGGAAATTGGGAGTATAGGAAAGAGAACATTTCCAGCTGGGCATGGTGGCACACTCATGTAATTCCAGCACTGTGGGAGCTGAGGCTGTGGATATAGCTCAGTGCCAAAGGCCCTAGGTTTAAGCCCCAGTTTTGAAATTTAAAAAGAGAGAAAGAATAAAAGATAGAACATTTCAAGTCGAGGAGATGGGCTAAGCAAATGAATTGGGTATGAAAGTGCAGAGCAACGCCAGGGGCTCATAAACTGTGTTAAGGGAACTTGGGGCTGGGTTTGGGGCACATAAATTTGAGGCCAGCCTGGGTAAGGACTGGGGGAGGCTGCGTCTCAATCAGTAAGGGCTGGGGGTGTAGCTCAGCAGTAGAGCACCTGTCTACCTAGCATGAGCAAAGCCCTGAGTGAAATCCTCAGCACAGAAGAAAGAAGGGGCTGGGAATTTAGCTCAGTGGCACCATGCCTGCCTTGCAAGCACAGGGTTCTGAGTTCGATCCCTGGTACCAAAAGAAGAAGAAAGAAAGGGGGAAAAAAAAACTGGGCCAAAAAGCCAGGCATGGTGGTGCATGCCTATAATCCCAGCACTCGAGGCTGAGGTGGGAAAAAAAAACTGGGCCAAAAAGCCAGGCATGGTGGTGCATGCCTATAATCCCAGCACTCAGGAGGCTGAGGCAGGAGGATCGCTGTGAGACCAGCCTGGGCTACATAGTGTGTTCCAAGTCAGTCTCAACTACATAGTGAGACTCTGGCTTAAAAAAACAAACAAACAGGCAGGGGATTTAGCTCAGTGGTTTGGTGGCCTGCCTTGCAAGCACAAGGACCTGAGTTCAATCCCCGGTACCAAAAAAACAAACAAACAAACAAAAACTGGGTAGGGCCGGGGATTTAGCTTAGTGGTTTGGTGGCCTGCCTTGCAAATGCAAGGACCCAAGTTCAACCCCCAGTACCAAAAAACAAAACAAAACAAAAAACTGGGTTATACAGGGAATCAGCCATATTAATTATTAAGACATCCCTCACCCTCCCACACGGTGCTGGGGATTGAACCCAATGCCTCCTACATGCTAGGGCTAAGGTGCACTTCACCCCTTTTAAGCTAGGCTATCACAAGTTGCCCAGGCTGGCTTCCAACTTGTGATCCTCCTACATCAGCCTCCTGAGTAGCTAGGATTACCAACACGTACAATGTATGGCTTCTGAGTTGGTTTTATGCCCCTAAAAAGGCTCTATAGTCTAGTTAAGAGTTTTGTGTTCTGGTTTTATTCTTCTGCATATGTGCTGAGTTGCTGTCCCTGTCTGGAACCTTAGTTCACCTTTTTTTTCTTTTTGTTTTTTTGTTTTGGTACAGGGGTCGAACTCGGGTCCTTGTGCTTGCAAGGCAGGCGGTAGTACCACTGAGCTAAATCCCCAGCCCAGTTTGCCATTTTTAAAATGAAGAAAGTATATTTAATGATAATTGCTTAGGTTCTTACCTATGTGCCAATTAAGGAACACAATATAACCGGGCTTTTTACATGTATTATCTCAGGTTACCTTCATCTATGAGGTAGATATAATTACTCCCATTTAAAGATAAGGAAGTGGGCGTGGTGGCACACGATTGTAATCCTAGCACTCAGGAGGCTGAGGCAGGAGGATCACTGTGAGCTCCAGGCCAGTCTAGGCTACATAGTGAGTTCAAGGCCAGCCTGGAGTGCAGAGTGAGAGCTTGTCTCAAAATAAAAATAAAAGGGCTGAGGTTGTTACTCAGTGTGAAGGCCCAGTGTTCAGTCTCCAGCACTGCAAATAAATAAAGCTGAGCGTGGCAGTGCACACCTGTAATCCCAGCGCTCAGGAAAGAGAGGCAGCAGTACTGTAAATTCAAACCCAGCCTTTGCAAATTAGCAAGGCCATATTTTTTGTTGTTGTTGTTTGACTTTTGGTACCGGGACCAATCTCAGGACCTTGTGTTTGCAAGGCAAGCACCGAAACCACTGAACTAAATCCCCGACCCAAGGCCATGTTTTAAAAATAAACCACACCAGGCCTTATCCCTAGCCCTAACTGGGGACGCAGCTTAGTGTGAAGTCTCTAAGGGTCCATCCCTGGCACCACCAAAAAAAGAAGAAAAAAAGAGATGAGGAAAGACTTGAGAGAAGACAATTTGCCATAGAACACATAACCAGTGTAACTGATGGAGTTAGGGTTCAGACCTGACTCTCATACTTCCTTTTTTTTTTTTTTGGAGACAGGGTCTCTGCTGTATTGTTCAGGCTGGCTTGCCTTGAACTCGCAGGGATCCTCCTGCCTCAGCCTCCTGAAGAATGGCATTACAGGCGTGTGCCATCACACCTGGCTAAAATCCTTACTTTTAATCTCTCTATTATGCTGCTAGATTATAAGGACCTTTCAAGAAAGACTGGGGTGATAGCCTAGGGTCCCCATGGCCTATAATAAAAGCACCACAAAACTCACAAATTTTTGTAACATTTTGGAGCTGGAAGGGAGCTATGATATAATCTAGGCAAATAAAATTGATAGCCTCAGTCCGGGTATTTAGCTCAGTTGCACTGTGCCTGCCCGGAAAGCACAAGGTCCCGATTTTGATCCCCAGTACCAAAAAAAAAAAGTTGATAGCTCCCTAGCATGAGCAAAGCCCTGAGTTAAATCCTCAGCACAGCATGTTCAAGAGTGCAAGACAATTTTAACTTTTTAAAATGATTTGGATTGCTGAGTGTTGCAATTGGTGGAGGCTGAGGCTGGAGATTTGCAAGTTCGAGGCAAGCCTGGACTACCCAGCAGGACCTTATCTCAAGACAACAGTAAAAGCTGGGTGTGATGCTGCACATCTGTCATACAACCACTTGGGAAGCCGAAGTAGGAGGATCACTGCAAGTTCAAGGCCAGCCTGGACTACACAGCAGGACAAAAAAAAAAAACCAAACTAAAATTCCAATAAAATGAAGTAATTCCAGTTAATCTCATTTTATTTATTTGTTTATTTATTTATTTTTGGTACCAGGGAATGAACACAGGACCTTGCACTTAGCAGGCAAGCAGTGGAACCACTGAGCTAAATCCCCAGCCAGTCTGACTTTATTTTTAAAAGCCTTGTAAGAGTTTGTCAAGTTTACTATAATAGTCTTTCCCCAGGACAGAAAAAGCTTTTCCATTTGACAGGTATAAGAAATAGGGTTTTCTAGAGTGGAGCCAGTGTAAGGTGAAGTCATAGTAAAACTGACACTCTGGCTGCTGAGAATGAAATACTGAGACATTCTGTCTGACATGCTATATTTCATTATCTCGTTTATTCATAAAGGAATACTTTTTATAAGCCCCTGTTATATGCCAGCCTCCATAGGGTACTGACGTACACCTTAGGGATACAGAGACAGCAAGTTACCATCCCGTCCACAGAGGAATCACATGCTTTAGGCAGAGAGGTCTCTAAGCATACCAGGGGGCAGAGTTGTTCTTAGTTGTGGTCTTGGTTTGTGCAGTGGTAGGCGTCAAACCCCGAGCCTTGCTGTACTGGACAGCATTCTACCACAGAGCTCTATCTTGGCTCATAGGGCAAATTGGTCTGTTTGTTTGTTTGTTTTGGCAGCACTGGGGATTGAACTAGGGTTTTTGCACTGAGCTACGTGCTTGGCCCCCATAGGCATGGGGCAGGTTTTATCGCAGCAGACCTTACGGGCTGCAGGGAGAGCCCTGAAGGGCTCCCACAAGGTAGCAATAGTTGATGGGTAGAAATTTTCCTAGCAGAGCAGGGGGTTGAGGGGTTTCAGGATGAATTAAACATACAAATGTGAAAGATTATGGAATCTTCAAAGTAAAATGAAAAGTTCAGGGTGGCAAGGTGCGTAGGTGACAAGGAGTCAAGGATAGACACTTTGTTTGGGAGCCAGACTGAGAAATCCATGGGTGCTGATTTGGATGTTGCTTTTAGCCAGTGACAAGCCATGGGAGGTTTATAGTAAGCAGGCTCGTGTGTTAATCAGAGGCATTATTCTGGATGGATGCCAAGAAGGAGATGAGTAGAAATGAAACAGGAAGATAGCCCCGTTGAGAAGGTTCTGCTCCAAAGTGAGCAGTCGACATGAACACACAAGGTGGGAAAGATTTGTTTTTTGGGTAGTGAAGATTAAAACCCAGAGCCTTTTCACTGGGTGATATCCTCAGCCCTTTTTTTTGTTTTGGTTTGGTTTTCAGGTTTTTGAGACAGGGTTTCATTATGTAGCCCAGGCTGGCCTTGAACTCACTACATAGCGCAGGCTGGCCTCAAACTTGTGGTGATCCTCCTGCCTCAGCCTTCCAAGTGCTAGAAGTGCTGGGATTGCAGGGGTGCGCCACCACACCCGACACCATGTTTGCTTTTTTTTTTTTTTTTTTTTTTTTTTTTTTTTTTTGCTTTTTAAGACAGTATCTCAGTATCTCACTAAGTTGTCTAGGCTACACTTGAATTTAGACTCGAACGATTTCCCAGAATGCCAGAATTACAGATTTACCACTATGCCTGGCATTTCTTTTCATTTTTGCAGTACTGGTGATTGAACCCACAACCTTGCACATAGAAAGCAAGTACTCTACCACTTAGCTGCATCCTTAGCCATGGCTTTCACACTGAGCTACATCCCCAGACCTTTTTTTCAGGGAGAGTTGAAACGGGGTCTTGCTATGTAGTTCAGGCTGGCCTTGAGCTTACTATGTAGCCATGTAGCCCAGGCTGGCTTGGAACTCAACAGAGATCCTCCTGCCTCAGCCTCCTGCGTGCTGGAATCACAGTTGTATGCCACCATGCCCGGCTTTTTTGGGAGTGGGTACCAGGAATGGAACAGGGATGGAACTCGGGACTTTACGGTTTCAATTTCGAGAGAGGCCGGCAGAACCACTGAGCTAAATCCCCAGCCCCACCCAGCTTTTTCTTGCCCTTGACTTTTCTGAGCAAACGCTCTAGCACTGAGCTACATCCAGCCCAATACTGATATTTCCACCTTGCAAGGCTAGGTGATAAGTGATGCCAGTCACTTAATCAGTGATAAATAAATAGGTACAAAATAAATATCTGATAAAAGAAATAATTAGTGTAACGTGAAAAGCATTTCCAGAGGGAGTGAAAAGACCCAAGATTCTAGCTCTGCCTCCACCACTCACTTGCTTCATGAACTTGAGCAGGTAGCTTTCCCTTTCGGACCGTTTACCTTTATGTTTAGCCGTGGTTCTCACTGTGAGGTCTCAGGCTCTCCTGAGCCCACGAGCTCAGAACTACTTTCGCAGTTAGAAGATGTTATTTTCCCTTTCGTTCCCATTTTTCACAAGTGTGCAGTGTTTCCAGGGACTGCGTGATGTGTGATATTGCAACAGACTGAAAGTGGAAGCAGCTAGAGCAATCCTGTTGCCTTCTGCCGGGTCAGCCATTAGTGATTTGCAAAAATTCAAGACAGTGCTTCTCTCCTTGCTATTTTTGTTTTGTTTTGTCTTGAAAAATAGTTTTCAGAGCCAGGGACTTAAGTGGTTCCACCGCCTGCCTTGCAAGTGCAAGGACCAGAGTTCAACCCTCGGTACAAAAAAGAATAAAAGAATGAAAAATAGTTTTCATTAACATATATATGTTAAATTATAATGAGTTTGTTTTTTTATATATAGGCTTTTAGGATTTCTTAGCTTTTTTTTTTTTTTTTTTTTGGTTTTTTGAGACAGGGTCTCACTATGTAGTTGAGACTGACCTGGAACTCACTATGCAGCCCAGGCTGGTCTCAAACTCACAGTGATCCTCCTGCCTCAGCCTTCCGAGTGCTGGGATTACAGGTGTGCACCACCATGCCTGGCTATTTTTGTGTTTTTGCGACAGTCTCACTATGTAGCCCATTCTGGCCTCAAATTTGTGACAATCCTGCCTCAGCTTCACAGGTGCTGGCATTAGGAGCATGTGCCACCATACCGGGCTTGTGTAATTACTTTTATCTTTGTTTGTTTATTTGTTTTTTGATACCGGGATCGAACTTGGGCCCTTGTACTTGTGAGATAGGCACCAGAACCACTGAGCTAAATCCGTAGCCCATATAATTACTTTAAAAGCCTGAGATCCTAGGGGCCGGGGATTTAGCTCAGTGGTGCTGCTGCCTGCCTCGCAAGTACAAGGAAAGTACAAGGATCAGAGTGCAATCCCCAGTACCAAAAAAAAAAAAAGCAAGCTTGAGATTCTATGTAAGATTGATAGTTGTTACTGTCATTAATTTTGGTGACTTTTTTTTTAAAGATGGAACAGATTAAGCGTGCAAACCGCCTTTATACTAACGACTCCATCTTCCTGAAGAAAACCCTCTACATCCCCATCCTGACAGAGCCCAGAGACCTCTTCAATGGTTTGGATTCTGAGGAAGAGAAAGATGGAGAGGAAGAGGTGCACCCAAGTAAGGATGAAGTGTGGCCACAGTCGGCCGAGAGCAGCACACAAGAGACGGGTTCAGATCACGCCAAAGGTGACGTCCTCCCCACACCGGGCCAGGGCGCCCCTGGGCCCACCCACGACCTCTCCGCCTCCGATTTCCTGAAGAAGCTTGACTCCCAGATCAGCCTGTCGAAGAAGGTCGCTGCCCAGAAGCTGAGCGGAGGAGAAAGTGGGTAGGTCCTGAGTGAGTCTTCCTAAGGTGCTGCAGGACGCCTGGCCAGCTTCCCCGTGCGCACCAGTGAGTGAGCGCAGCAGCGGGCAGTGAGGCGGACTGCGGGAAGGCTGAGGCTCTGGGAAGCTGGGTCCGTGCTCTCCCGGAGTAAAACACTTGATTATTCTTGCTGCTTTCTTAGTCCACGCAGGCACGTGAGGGCTAAGATTTTTCCAGCCGATACTGAGACTCGTGGAGCAGAAAGAGGAGACAGCTTCCCCTGTACCTTCTGGCCCATCCTCAGTTCTTCCGTTTATCCGAGGCTCTTTCCCCTCTTTCCTCACCTACAGGGCGTCCGGGGAGGACCTGCGTCTCCACCTGAGCTCACCACGGACGCAGCAACGAGCAGTCCTAGGTCCTGTGCCGCTGACCCGGACCTCTCGGACTCGGACACTTCGGGACCAGGAGGATGAAATCTTCAAACTCTGACGTCCCCTGAAGTGACTGAGAGAAGCAGGATCTGGAAGCAACAGCTTGAGGGAGAGAGGAGCCTGAGGTGAGGCTCAAGAACGTGGCTTCCCAGCCTGCCTCCCTCTACTCGGCCATGTCCCTCAGCCTCCTGTCCATCAAGAACTGGAGGGCATTTTGGGGGCAAAAGTAGGAGATGACAACTAGATCCCTTCGCAGTTCTTGGCTGAATGTGGCCTTGTCCTTTTAGATTCGGGTGGCTTTTTACATCCCTGCTGCCCTGCACCCTTCCCTGCCCTCAGAGCAGGGAAGCAGAGCCTCCCCTTCAACTTCCCAGCTCCAACTGCGTCACCTAATTTATTTGGTGCTATATTGAGTGATATTTATTTGCTGTATCTAACTCCTTCCCACTCTTACCCTAAAAATGGGGTTTCCATAGCCCAGAATCAGGAGTCAGTGGCTGCTGGTTTCCCACCTTCCCCAGCTCCTCTGCCGAGTACGTTACTGAGTACGGAGAATCTTTTCCTCTGTCTCAAAATGGAGCATTTGAGCTCAGTCTGGGTTTTTTGAGACAGGGTCTCACTCTGTAGTAAGGCTGGCCTTGGGTTCACTCTGTCGCTCATGCCGGGCTCGAACTCAGGGCAATCCTCCTGCCTCTGCCTCTCAAGTGCTGGGATGACAGGCGTGCGCCACCACGCCCAGCTTGGGATCAGTCTTGACTAACCGTTTCCCTGTGACGTGTTCACAGCTCTTGCTCTGAGAACAAGCAGCAGAGCACAGTGGAGAGGACCTGACCCTCTCCGTTACCCGTTCACCCTTCTAACCCATCCTCTGCTCAACCTGCTGGGGGGCTGAGGGATGGAAGGGGTCACCGGCCGTCGGGCTGGAGGAGGGCACCGTGAAGGTCTCTGTTGCACACCCCAACCAGAGCCTGTCTATGCCTTACTCCAGACTGTGTGTTTATGTGCGACGTGTAGCACTGATCTGCAGTGCAGTTTGTGTTTTGTTTCTCAAACAGAAGAAGTAGGCAAGGGAAGCTCAGTAGTCCCGGAAATATGCCTCAGTCTCCTGTTTGGAAGTGGTGAGAGGCGAGATAAGCAGTCTGTATACCGCCTTTCCTGTGACGGTACTGAGGCGTAGGAGCTGCAGAGATTAAACGCTGAGCCCTGTGTGTGTTTCAGTAGTTTTATTTCCCCAGTGAGACTCCCCGGCTCGCCCCTTCTTTCTGCATCCTGAGACGGAGCCTCCAGGATCTCTCCAGTCTGCCTAGAGCTGGAGGGCTAGGGTGTCCCTAAGGGCCACTGTGCCCCTTCCGTCCTTAGTGTCCCCGAGGGTCATGTGCGTTCTGTCCCTTTTGGTTTGTAGGTGAGGGGGCTTCCCAGTTTCAGGAGTCCCTTGTGGGAGAAATAGAGATCCAAGTTTCACTTCGCCTTTTTCAGGCAGCTGCTTCCCGTGCTGGGTCTGGAGTGGGGGCGCGGCCCCCCTCGCC